AAAGCAATGGCCTGCAACCTAATAGCGATGGCCTGCAACCTAATAGCGATGGCCTCCAACCTAATAGCGATGGCCTCCAACCTACAAGCAATGGCCTCCAACCTAATAGCAAACAAGCACCAAGCGAAAGCCAATGGCAGCAATCTTCCAATACAGGCACAGCCGCCGCAGCAGTTCCACTCCATTCCATCTTCTTTTTCAGTGACACATCCGTTTTATGTGAAAAGTTCTGAAATACATGTATATGTTGCACACGTTTGCACGCATCATCCCAAAAACTTCACAACAGATTTGTTCAATCTGGAAAAGGTCTTGCCATCCGACTTAGGTTTGTTTGTCGATTGCAAATGCACAACTTACTTCAGTGTTGCCTATCAGTTGGGCTTGTTTAAAAAGCAGGCTAAATGGGACCGCTCCTGAAAAGAGTGCAAAAAACTCGGAGCGCTCGCTTCATGGACCCTTATTGCACTTGCGCTTCCTCTCTCCTTCTTCAGGTCCGCACGTGGCGATGTGCTGAAGCGAAGACCTTCTTTCATACCAAGGCCGGGTGAATGACCTCACTGCGTTACTTCGAGTTTGCTACCAAGTCTTGACGAATCAGAAATGGACAAGAACTTCCACAGCAACCAAGCAGTTTTGGGCGGCGATTTCTTTCCACGGGTTGGACTTGATGGCCTCTGGGATGCTCAGATTTCGCCGCAAATTGGTTCGTTTCTCGAACTTCGGAGCTTCACACTTTGGTGCGCTTCCGACGGTGTGCTCTCATGCGCGTTCTCTCATGCACGTGCTCCCCCTCCCTACTTAATTAACTAGGCGCTTGCTCAATTAAGTAAGGGAGAGGTAGTACCTTACTCAACCTACTAGTATGGACGCAGGACAGCTCACGCACTAATCATTTGGTTCCTAGATTTTTGGGGTCTCTTGGCAGGATTGCTTGCCCGGGCTGTTTGACCAACGGGTTTCTTCGCAATGTTTGTAAGGAGCGCATGACCGTGACCCTGGAGTCTCCAGTTTCTTCCGAACTTACCTTGTTGGTCGCAATTTGCGTTTCACCTGTACTCCCTCGAGCGATTCGTTCATCTCGGTGGATACCAGGAGGCTGGTATTTTGGTAGTCTTCTCACTCAGGCGCGACACTAGCGAAGGGAGCCCACAGCGGGCACTAACATGCGCGATGGAATTGACAGGATGCCGACAGTACGCCATAACTGGAACATTGAACACAGCGGCCCGGGTTTCTGTTTGGGACCATTCCGGCGCTCACCCTAGCTTTCCTCTCTACGGTTCGTGTGCTTCACACTTTCTCTTCTTCGTCTTTTGCCGACATTTCACTTCTAGAAAATTCCAAGCTACAAATAATACACTTCTTTTGCCCAACAACATGGAAGCTGTAAAAACTATTTTGTGGGACTTACATGGACGCTTCGATAATAGTTTTCTTCTATACGCGCGCCAGAAGCCGAAGACCATAAGAAGCAGGACAAAGTAGAAGTCGACAACGACATTGATGTACAGTTAGTAGACGACCACAAGAGGAATCAAACACCAAGGGCAAGCAGACTTTTCTACATGCGTACAAAAGACCGACCGTAAGCAGAACCAGAACAAAGGGCAAAGGTAGACAACACAGAAGTTGGCGTACATTAGGCAGACCACAGTTGGAAGCAAACCAAACGGCAGAAGTGGAGACGCGGCGCGACCAAGCCCAACATGAAGAAGCAGCGCAAACAGGAAAAAAAGGGGGGCGCAACCAAGTTGACATGCGCGCCTTCTTGCCAAGCTTTTGACATGTACTTTAAGCCAAAAGCTACAAACGAAGCAAACGTGGCAGAAGCGGAGACGCTGCACACGACCAAGGCCAAGAAGAAGCCACCTGTATTGCTTCGCACTGCATGGTGACGAATATAAGTTCTAGACGCAGAACTGAGGTACCGCTTCAGCTCAGCTGTCGTACTGGCGTGATTACAATACTGTTTAGCCGACCTGATCACCTTTCTGTTCTTCACAGGGCCATTTCGAATGTCAAGGCTCTAGTCTGGTATTGCGGTCACTAAATCCTATACAGGGCTAATGAGCACCGAGATCCACTCAGAATTCTTGCTCCATGGAGCTCTTTTCTCAAGTGTGAGCGTGTCTTATGAACTCACGAACTTGCACAGAAAGCAGGGGGTCACCCACACACCTGACTGGCGATCCAACGAAGAAGGTCAAGCTCTGACATCTCGCACCCCTGGTAACGTGGCATCTAAATTAAATGCGCTAACGTGTTTTTGAATCTTGCCGCAGCATCCTCCCAGGATTCCACTCCCTGTGGGGTACACGATCACGAGCACAAAAATAACGCCAGCATAGATGCCAAATAGCAATGTTTACTTTCGGTCAGTGTACCCGGCGCATTTCAGGGTGTAATGCATGCGCTCGAGGAACATCTGCCTATCTATATTGGTATACCCATAATCATTGACACTGTGAGTCTGAACCAAAAGCGGATTGAGTTTGTGGAGTGTTGTTTCGACTTTTAATTTTGTTTCGATGTTTCGACTTTTGCGCATTTGCATTGAAATGCTTAAAAGAGCTACAACATATTGCAAGGTTTGCGCGCATACTTTTGTACACATAAACATATACGCGCAAGGTCATACGGTGCTTGAGAAACAACTGCGTAAATATCTATATTGATATACCCCTGGTCATAGACTCATGGGTGTGAACCAGAAGCTGCTTGAGTATTCTAGAAACTCCACAATACACAGTGCTGCGTTGTATTTCGCATCTTCTGGTTCTGCTCTCCTTTGGCCGACCGCTGTGAGAGACCCAGGGGCTGTATTGTTTGCGCGCATCCTTTTGTACGCGACGTATACGCGGAACATTTCAGGGTGTACAACACCGCCACCCAGCACCCAGCACACACCACCAGCGCCCACCACGCGCACAGCCAGCACAGCACTGGCACCACACAGCACCAGCACCGTCACCCTCTTGATTGAAATAAGAACCCATGGCTCTCGCTATCTGGGGAACAACGTGAACCTTTTCTTCTCTCTTTTCCCCTGAAAGTCTTAAAACCTTGCGAAGTTGTAATTCAGATTGGCAGACTTCCATTTCCTCACACCAACCACACGTTGCCACCAGCCACGTCCCTTTGCTTCGCGTCGGGGTGGTAAACGCCCCAGTGGATTGCTGCGCATGGAGCCTGGGCCTTGTACAGTGCAGCTGGCAGCCACACCAACCATCCTACTTTCCCCGCAACCTTCTTCCACAAGAGCCAAGCCAGCAATTTGCGTGGCAATTTACACACAATTCCTCGTTTGCATTGCACTCAGCGTTCGGGATGGAGCTCCCTGGCTAATTTCGGCTGGCTCACTGCGCGTGCGTCGATGCATGAGCATCCTGCAACAGCACCAGCATCCAACCTCCAAAGCGGCACTGGCAACCGCAAACGGCTACAAACACCTCGCAGCAGCAGCAGCAGCACCCCCACACTCGCGCACTGACGTAGACTTCCGGCAGCGGCGCCCTGCGCCAGCAGCCGGGCTCCACAGCGCACACGGGCACCTTTTCCTAAACTTGCAATAAAAACCCCATTCCGAGGGAAAACCATTGATGTCTGAATAATCACTGCCAGCGCAGACCCCAGATAGCAGAAGATGTTTCGGAGGAAGCGTGACACCGTGCACTCCAATTCGCGCACGGCCATATGCATGCCTGAAGCGGGCTGAAGAAGCTCGAGACAACAACACGCGCCCTCCAAAGCTGAAACTGCCATACACATCTGGCCACAATCTTTCGCCTAGGCTTTGAAGCAAGTGGCATTCTGACTGTACGCACTTTTTCCGAGAGTGTGTGCTGTCGTTCTTACCAATGCGCTCTCATGTGTGTGTGTGTCCACACCTGTGCCTAAGGTTTTGAGTTACAAAGAACGCTACTAGGGCCCCTGGTTTTGCTACTAACGGCTTCTGGTATCGCTACTAACATAGTTTTCTCAGCGCGGGAAAAAGAGGCAGGGGGACACAGCATGTCACTGGGACTGTGTCAGACGAAGCTACCAGTTTAACCTTTTTGTGGAACTGTTGAACAAGCTGTCTCCTACGGTGTTGCGCAGCAAGGGTCTACTGAGCTGAAGACAACTTGTTACAACACCTTCAAATGAACGGACTTTTCACCTTGCGGTTTGCGCTTCTTTCCGTTTCGTCAAGTCAAGGGGGATTTCGTACTGATACTAGCTCTTGCGAGCAACAATCTAAATGTGTTTTCGCCACAGGGTCCCACTGAGGGCTGTGGTGTGATCCCTGTCAAGGGGCGCCGCATGTGCACAGACCCAGATCCCGGGGGATTTCTTCTGAATGATCTTCTCTTGATTCTCTTTGATCGGCGGTGATGCACGATACCACTGATTTCATTCCGCAGGGCTTACTGTGATTCAAACTCTGGATTTGCACCATCATGGAAGCATGTGTCTAAGTATTCACAGGCGGGATTTAGCACAGTACTTCAGGCAGGGCACAAGTTCATGTGCTCTTGTTGCATGTGCTTTTCATGCTCTTCGGTTCTTTCTCTCCTTTTGTTGCTTTTCGTTTCTTGAGGCCTTTCTTTAGGTCCCAGGTGTCTTTCAGACAACGGGTGCGCCGGCCCAAATCGGCTTTACTTGAACGCCAATGATGGCAAGGCCTACAGGCCACCCTAACCCACCCTCCCCCCTCCCTGCCCCTGGGCCTCCGTTGCTATCCCACCCGCTATTCGGGCAACAGAAGGAAATCGCACTCAACACACTTGTGCGTTGGCGCCTTTCCTTTTGTTTCTCCTTTCCTATTGCTAGCTACCCGGGCGGTTTAAGACAAAATGTCCCGCTCGCGTTCTACTTTCATTTAACTAAGTGGGCCTCGTAACTACACCTATCTTTCTCTCTTGCCCTCTTAGTCTGCTTTTGTCTTGTTTGCTTTTTCTGTCTTTCTAAGGCTCTTTAGGTGGCTAGTACTTTTCAAAAAAGCGCCAATATTGGCGCTATGTGTACAAAGCTTCGCGACACAAACGACGCTACTAGAGGCTTCTGGCCTCACTACCAGGAGCCAGGACCGTACTCCTAGGGGCCTTTCTACGGGGTGTGAGGACGCTACTAGCGACTCCTGGCCATGCTACTAAACTAAACTGCAAGCAAGGGTTAGTGCGCCGAGTACGGCTTCGCGCGCGCGTGTCCACACCTGCGCCTAAGGTTTTGAGTCACAAAGAACGCTACTAGGGCCCCTGGTTTTGCTACTAAGGGCTCCTGGCATCGCTACTAACATAGTTTCTCAGCGCGGGAAAAAAGAGGCAGGGACACAGCCTTTCACTGGGACTGTGTCAGACGAAGCTACCAGTGAAATGGGATATCCAGCTTGGCCAGCTGGACGTACCTGCAATTTTAACCTTTTTGTGGCGGTGTTGAACAAGCTGTCTCCTACGGTGTTGTGCAGCAAAGGTCTACTGAGCTGAAGACAACTTGTTACAACACCTTCAAATGAACGGACTTTTCACCTTGCGGTTTGCGCTTCTTTCCGTTTCGTCAAGTCAAGGGGGACTTCGTACTGATACTAGCTCTTGCGAGCAACAATCTAAGTGTGAAGGGTGATATGTGTGCTCTCTTAGGCACGGTCTCGCGCGCCCGCTAGCCGGTATTTGTGTTCCTGTTTGGGGCGTCTGCCGGGAAAACTTTAAAGGATCCAGTTGGTGTCTTCCACATCAATCTCAGTGCCCTGCACCTTCGAAGAGGAGGGCTGCTTTGCCGGTTTCCCTTATTCAAGGGCTTGTCATGCTTCCGCATGAGAAGCGGTCAAACAAATTGCGTTTAGCCTAGCGCCAACACGTTCACCAAGCGCTTCTTACAATATGTTCATGTCAAGTCAGCTGGGCCACTTGCTGGTTCGCCTGACGCCATGCTGTAACTGTATCACTCAACGAAAAGACAACAGCGTTTGTCAACAGGCTTCGCAGACCTCTCTTGGCTGTGGGGAAGACTGTCCTGGGTGACCGCGGCCTGGTTGCGGAGGGGCGCCAGAGAAGAAAGCACAGGGAGGCCAAATGATCTTTGGAGCAAGAGAAACAAAAGCAAGAAGCATCAGGCGATCACGGCTGAAACACGAGAAAAATTAAACGAACCCTTTTGGTTGTGAAAGCAGTTCAAACAAACCGGTTTTAAGAACGAGGGGGGCGTTGCTGAAAAAAGCAGGCAGGTAGGAAGCTGCTGCGGCAGTGCAACGCAGGTTGAGAAAATTCTGCGCTGGACTGCTGCGCGTTCTTTCAAGAACCCCTAGTAGCTTCTTGTTCCTAGTGCGATGCCAGGTAACGTCCGTAAGGCCAGGAGCCCCTAGTAGCGTTCTTGCTCCTAGTAGCGTGGCACTTGTTACTAGAAGCGATGCACTTGTTTCTAATAGCTTCTTGTTCCTAGTAGCGATGCCAGGATCCCCTAGTAGCGTTCTTTCAAGAAGAAATATGAAGAAATGCTGCGCCATGGGCCGTGCCTCAAGAAGAGGTCCCCGTCGCTGTGGAACGCAAATCTTCCAGCCTAGGCATCAAGCGCCGGCATTCGGAGCGTCCCAACTATAGCTCGTACTCACAGTATAAGCGAACTGAAAACTTACGAAGAAAAAAATAGACACATTTTTTGTTTGCTACTAGGAGCAACGACGCTACTAGGGGCTCCTGGCATCGCTACTAGGAGCAAGGACGCCACTAGGGGTTTGCCGTCTCACCGAACCACCGAAACAGCAACAGCATTCGCCAGTTCGTTCACCCTATCGGCTTAGGCAGGCTAGAACAGGGGCAGCCGTTCGGAAAGGTGTCCATAAGGGGGGCCATAAGGGGTAGCGGAGCCCCCGGCCGGGGGGCCTCCAGGGTAGTGTAGAGGTAGGACTTGGGCGCAAAAAGCAATGTCACATGTGCCATGGCCAGCAATGACTCTTTTCGGGGCAACAACAAACGGTTCAATGGTGAGAGTTTGGGCCCCACAAAGTTCCAGCGATGGCAAGGCTATACATGGTGCCTCCATGTGCCTCCTGCCCGCGTACCTACCAATGATCACCTTTGCTGCTACACGCCCAACTTTTCTGAGTAAAAGCGTCACTTGAACCTAGTAGCGATGGCCTCCACCCTAGTAGCGATGGCCATCGCCACCTGCGAAAGCTTCTCTTCAAGTACAGGTTTCACAGGCCGCTGGGACAATCACCCTGCTGGCAAACACGTGCAACTCCCACATTCCCCACGTCCACGGTTCTCTTGGCAAAGAGTGCGTGAACCCAAACCACAAACCTGCTCGTCAGTCGGCCATCCTACAAGTCAAAAGCAGGACCGGGCGTTGGTGGCGAAAAAACCGTCAGCCTAAAGAAGAACCACGAGCATCAGAAATGAATCCCTTCCCCCAAAACCACACCCTGCCCAAACAGTGTGTCTAAATCTAAGGTCTAGAGGTGTAGAGGTGTAGAAGCAAAAGGCCTACATATTTTAGAAGCGTTGGTTGAGCTTGTGGTGATGGTGGTAGTGGCGGTCATGATGGTCGTGGTGATGATGACGATGATGATGATGATGAAGGAGGTGATGGAGGTGATGGCGTCCCGAGTTCTAGAGGTCTAGAGGCGGAGAGAGATGTCTAAGCACACATACGAGAGCACATTTGCCGCGGCAGGTGCACTGCTCGAACTTCCTAACACTTGAACTGTCAAAACTTGAACTCCAGCATACGCAGCAAGTGTGCACTTACATCACTGAGTAGCGTGTGTAGTGATTGTGAGGCTGAGGTGCAGGATCACTGCATACACTCGAATGTCTCCGTTTGCTGAAGCCCAGTGAAGCCCAGTGAAGCCCCAATGCCTTCAGAACATTGGAGAGTGTGTGAAAAATTGAGCATACTGTATGTAGTACTTGTGCACCTAAGTAAATCGAAGAAACTCGAGCATACGCCGTGAGAGTGAGAATCGGTACAAACTGAACCTTGAATTAGCTGCCTATTTTTGTCTCCCTTTTTTTTGGGTTGATGAAAGAACATAGATGTCATATCTTTTTGTCTGTATGGTACCCTTTCCATTCTTTGAACCTACCCTATCCGAAGCCATTTGACTGTCCCCTGACAGCTCCTCAAACACTGCCCTAAGTCTGTCCGCAGCGTCAAGTTGCTTTTGAAAAACTTGACTGACACCTGGGTGAGATTGCATCACGCAGCTAGCTTCCTCTTCTTGGACCTGAGTGTACCAATGACCAACCGAAACATGGTGTTCAGCACACAACCCTGCCACTTCCAAGGAATTGGGTGACCAACCAAGGTATGCTTCTAATCCGCGTGTTTGAAGACCTCGCGGCACCCATCTAAATTCATGTCAGCAACCAAGATAGGCACCATATCAAGGTCTCGCTGCCTTGCCACATCAACTAACATGACCGTGTATTCAAGAGTCGAAGGCTGGGGGACAACTGGCCACACTTGCCATTCCGTGCTTGAGTCAGTCAAGAAGTTTGGAATGACCAATCCTGGCCAATCCACTCTTTCCAGCTGGCTTTTAGGTTGCGCTGTCCTCCATGTTTCTTCTTCTGAAACAACGACCAATTGAATATCATCATTTGCAGAACCAACTTGGCTAGTTCCACTAATCCACGCTGCATGATTGGCAAGAGCAATGTTCCTACTACTACCTTGCACATTGATATCATATGTACTCCCTTCAACGCCACTCATTTCTTCAACAGGGCGCACAGGCGAAGGACTGACTTCGACTATCAACAGGTAAAGCAGCACAACAGTTCGCACCATCTTCGGTTTGATGATGCGCGGAACTCTGGCCTGGTACCTAGCTCCTTTGACCATGCAACGCTTCTTCCTTCTGCCACTCTTGCTCTTCGGCAAAAAAGGAACAACTTGACAAACACTGAAAACAGCGCTGCAATTCCAGAGAGGATGTCAAATGCCATCTTCCCTTTTAGAATCCATGCGTGCAATTCAAGCAATTTCGCATGTTCATGGGCTCTGCGAACATCTTTCTGGCTTTGATTTCCCGTGCCAAACAGACCATCCTTGCCATGGCCAACTGCATCGAGACAAAAGCCGATTGCTTCCTTTTTTCCGTGGCTCCAATCAAGCAATTCAAGATCGGACAAATGTGCTCTGGAATCGGCTCGAAAGGCCCACAATGGGCGGGCAATGCTAGCTTGTGAAAAACATCCATTGCAATTCCACATGCTTCATAAGCATTAACCCAATTCTTCCCTGGGTTGAAAATTGGTGGAAAGAGGACAAAGTAAAAAAGACTCGAAACAAACCATAGCAGCATGCTGACGTCAGCCTTAAGCGGCGCCATCCAACCACAAACCTCCTACTTGCCCTCTCCATCTTGCCCAGAGTGATCGAATTTTGGCTTCTTTGACAAGTTCCCTGCTTGCCCTTCGTTCCTTTTGCCAGCTGATGCCGAAGCTCCTCGTGAAAAGGGCTTTGGACTTGGCAATCGGCCCTTCACCATGGAATCGTCTAGTAGTTCCTCGTCCGAAATCGGCTCCACCGGATCCGGAGGGATGGTGTACCCATCTTCCATGATACCCTCTTGTGGAACATCTTCTCCTTCCATCAAGCTTTGGGCCATTGCTGATTGCCTCATAGCATCCTGCAATTCTTTGAGCTTTTCTTTTCTTGTTGAAAGGCTCTCCATTGCTGATGCTCTCTGTTCTACATATGCTGCTCTTTCTCGATCGTATGCCGTCTTCAGGGTCTCGGCAAAGAATTTCCACTCTTTGTCCACTTCCAAAACGGCTTCCTTTGCTTTGGTGAACTGTTTTTTTGCTTGCGCAATTTTGTTGAGCGCACCGTGAGTGATCTCTGGCTTCGCAACCAATGAAACATTAGCTGCTTCCATGACCTTGTCTTCTATCTCCTTTGTGTACGCTACTCCCAACGTACGTTTGAGATCTTCCAGCTTTGATTTGACCTCTGCAACCACTGCAGGCGGTGCAGGAGGAATTGGCAAATCTGGTGCTGGGAATTGGCAATTCTTCCCCAGTCTCTTTGGGTACACTCAGCCTCGTCGTGGGTGTACCTTTCATCCAAGGAACGCCAGGCGATTCTTTTGGTGTTGGCCTTCTGCTCGAGAAGGGGGTCAATGCCAACACATCCTCTGCGCCTTGGCTCTTTTGATTCTTCATCTGCTTCTTGGTGCTCTCTTCGGCTTTGCCTTTTCTTGACTTTGATCTCGATTTCTGGTGCAACACCGACTGCCACCATCCTTGGCAATGGTTGCAGTATAGCGTGCTCATCGACATCTGGATCCAGCACTTTCTGCAAGTCCAGTTGCTTTGCCTCGACATTCCTGGAGCTCGAGACCCGTGGTGAATACAACGGCAAACAAGGGCGGGTAAGGTTTCTCGCTGAAAAAGCCACTGGGGGGGGCACTCCCCAATGACCTCACAGAGCCTTCGGGTGGCCTCCACCCAAATCCAAGGCCTTTTGCTGCTGGTAGATGTAGCGATGCCTCGGCTCTTTTCCGCTGCCCGAAAGCTGCCGACTGGCATCGGTCATTGCCTTAGACAAGCTCTTGATTTGGTGCAAAATAGGGCTAACAGCCTCTGAGCCCACTTTGATGTGAGCTGCTAGGCCGACAACGGCGTCACTGATCTTCGTGATCGCCAGGTTCTGGTTGTCAACCTTTGGACCCAGCGCGGCATTCGATTCCCTAATCTTGTCAGCAAGCTCAGCCAACTTCTGCATAGTGGCACTGAGGGAACCAAATTTCGCCACTGCCCACAGCAAAGTATCCAAAAGGGACTCAACCTTAATGTCAGAAGGTGGCCCTGGAGGCATGGATGCAGTCTCTTCAGATTGGTCTGGTTCACCATTGTGGAGCATCACCAATTTCTCAAAGTAGCTCCAGCTGTAGACTGCCGCGCCACCCCGAACTGAAATGCGTCGAGTGCATTTAGGTCTAAAATTTAGGTTGCAAAAACATATTCATCTAAGACCTAAGAATTGAATCAAGCGCAATCTGACTGGGTCGGGCACAACCTCGCAGCGCCTGAGAAGCAAATCAGTGCGAGCGCTTCAAGGGGGGCCCCAAAAAGATTTATTAAAACAACAATTCAAAGAAGTTATT